TTACCATTACTATTACTCTCCACATCCACTTCCTCGCATAGCTTGAGCAACGCATCGAGTTGCGAGCTTCTCTCAGAAAACTCTTCATCGAAAATCTTCTCCTCCCCCTCCTCCACCACCACCACCTCATCCTCCTCCTCCTCCGGTCTGAAGGGCTGCAACAATCTTGACTCGACGGAATTATTACATCGTAAATAATCAATAACCCCTTTGGGATTGAACAACTGAAGATTTGGTTCAATTGATTCCAAATCTATCTCCTCCTCCTCACCCTGTATGAATGGATCCAACAATTTTGACTCTATCGAATTATTACTTTGTAAATTATCACAAACCCCTTTGGGACTCAACCAATCGAGGGTTGGTTCAATTGATTTCAACCCACCGACAAAAGCTCCCTCTATTTCATTGAATAATAAGCAATTTTCCTTTCCGGGATTAACGGGTTTCCCCCTTTTCGGCCTTTTGGATTGGCGGAGGGTGGTTGAGCTGCGCGGTTTGAGCCGCGGCGGAAGTGAGCTGGTTCTGGAGGCGGCGGAGAAGGAAGTGGAAGGGTAGTCTTGAAAATCGTCGTCGTCGATAATGGGGCTGAGAAATTGCGAAGAAGATGAACCGGTGGTGGTGGATCTTGAGTTGGGATTTGCCCCCATTGTCGAGTGGTACAGTGTGCTGCGTCGATTCTCTTCAAATTCTAGTGGAAGATTAATGGAGGGAAATTTTAGATTATTTGAAAATTAAATTCATTACTTCGCCATTTTTTCTTCTATTGTACTTCTTCTTTTTTTCTTTTTCTTTTTATTTTATTTTTAGGATAAATTACACTTACACCCATGAGGTATGCTAAAATAACTTTAAGGTCCCTGTAGTATCGGTAATTACAATCACCCCTAAAATATTGTTACAAACCCTAACTTTAGGGGTGTGGCTGTAATTACCGGTACCATAGAGACCTTAAAGTTATTTTAGCATACCTCAAGGGTGTAGGTGTAATTTACCCTTTTTTTTTTTACAATAATTTATTTTTTTTCCATGTAAAAAAATGTCACGGCTCATTAAGACGTATTCTGAAACATATTTTCAATAATATTTATTTATTTATTTTCCCTCAAATGTTTTTCAATATTGCTAATTTCACCGAAACACGATTTTCCAAAAACATTTTCCTAAAAATGTTTGTAGAGAATTCAAACAACGTTGCGACTTATAGTGATTTCGAATATAAAGTTGCTCATGTTCGAAAGCGTTCGTATGAACACTGACAAGATCATTTTTTTTCATAAATGTGAGTTTAATTTACAATCATCACAAATTGTCAAAAACAAGTTATATATAGTTTACGTCTGGTTGCTAGTTTTTCAATTTATAACAAGTGAATTAGTGATAATATAGAAAAAAAATTATCAAAATTATTAAAAATCCATATGGACTCCATTAATTATTATAAAAGGTTTAAATGTGTTATGTTTAAATAAGCTTGTATTATTGGTTCAACTTAATTTGTTTAGACATGATCCAATAAGTATTAGATTGTTATATTTATTATGCTTCAAATTTTAAAATTTAAAATAATGGGTAAATTACACCCACAGTCCTAAGATATACTAAAATAACTTTAAGGTCCCTATAGTATCGGTACTTACAGTCACTATTGTTAGAAACTCTAACAGAATAATGCATTGCACAATTTATTCTATTAGAGTTCTAACGAACGATTAGTTTGAAGAAGTGGTGGAGACAACGCAGAGCTAGAGGGTGACATGCCTCTCCTAACATTTCTTAAATCCTCATTATTTTATATTAGATTTATAAATTGCCGTTTATGATAGCATTAACGGCCCAACGAGAAACAAATATAGTGTATATCGGTCCCCAAGACGTGAGATCCTGGCTCAGATAATTGTTTCAGTGGTGTGACTGTAGTTAAGGGACCTTGAAGTTATTTAAGCTTACATTAGAGGTGTACATGTAATTTACCCTAAAACAATTGATGTTGGAGGGAGTAATTGTTACATATGATAATTTAAGGGGTAAGTGTTACATAAGCTATACTTCAGGTGTACAAAGTGTATTTAATCGTATTAATTAATTAGGGCCAGTTTGCAATAAGTGACTATAGTGGGGCTATGGCTGGATTTTGTTTGTAATTACTTTTTATTTAAATTAAGCTGCACAGCTAAGCTGTTTTATTATGAGATTAATTTCGTTAATCGAAACAGTCTATCCACCTTCACTCTCAGTCCAAGATCCAGATTAAATCTCACGAGCATTGCACTTTTTTCTTCTTTTTTCTTTAAATTCGACAATTAAATGCAAATTAATTAATTAATTAATTCGCAAATTAGCAATCGGTTAATCGAACCTCAATTTAATCCATCAACAGTTGGCAGCTACAAAAAATTTTAGGTCTCATTTGACCGGTGGAAGTAATTGACATCGGGAAAATGGGCGGGGAGGAGCGGTGGTGCGTGGTGACCGGCGGCCGAGGGTTTGCGGCGCGTCATCTGGTGGTGATGCTCATCAAATACGGCATGTTCTCCGTGCGCGTCGCGGATTTGGGCCCCGCCGTGAAGCTTGACCCCGACGAGGAGAACGGCGTCCTCGGAGAAGCTCTCAAGTCCGGCTGCGCGCAGTACGTGGCGGCGGATCTTCGCGACAAATCGCAAGTGCTCAAAGGTCTTATTTCCGGCATTAGCTTTTGCTACTGAGCCTCACTTTCTCCTCGTTATTTTTTCCCTTCATCTGCTTCTTTGCAAATGTTGACTGTGTAATACTGCGGTTTTGTGTAGTTGATGTGGTTTCACTTGTGTTTGCACGCGGTCGGTGTATCTTCTCTATGTTAATAGTAGGTTTGGTTTCGTTTGGTTTGCGTTTTCGTATCAAGTATACAGTTACGTTTATGCTTTGTTTGATTATGTAATGAACCAATTGAACAAGCTTAAATCAAGAGAACAAGAAATTAACTCTACATATTCCTTACCATGACAGAAATACAAGAAATCGTGAACAAGGAATGATGATGTTTGATACCCTCGATTACTTTTTTCAATTTATAGGGTTTATACTTTATAACAGATGGGTTGGATTACACATTTCGTTCCTACATTTAATGGAAGTCTGCTGTAGCTTTGTAGCCAATAAGACAGCTTATAAGAGCAGAAGTAGAATATGCTTATTAAGATTCTGTAACGAGATTCAGTCTGATGGATTGTGTGTTTATTTGTATCATATTTCACATGTAGCTTCTGGATTGCATTATTTTTATGATCTTTCATAATATTATGCTGAGCATATGTATTTCTTTGTTGTCCGTAGTTTGTTGGGGGTGGGGAACTGGGGGTATTCAACATTTGTGACAAATCAAGGAACAAAGAAACGCTTCCAAAATGGAAGTGGATACATTTGAGATGCTGACGGTCTAAGAATTAGAAAAAAAAAAAGAAAAAAAAATGAAGATGGTGGGGTTGAGTGTCATTGTCCATTTTCAGTTAATAGTTAAGGTCAATTTAACCTGACTTAGGCATTTAACATACTGCTAGACGTTTTGTACTGTAGCTTGCAAAGGAGCCGAGGTTGTCTTTCATATGGCTGCTCCTGATTCCTCCATCAATAACCATCAGCTGCATCACTCTGTCAACGTACTAGGTCAGTTTTGCACCATCTTGATCTGAATAAGATGTGTGCTATAAATTGTTTAAAAGGATTTGTTTAGCCCGTAACCAATGTTTTTATTTCCTTAATTTTCGTAATTATGGCGACAGGAACCCAAAATATTATTGATGCATGTGTTGAGCTGAAAGTAAAACGACTTATATATACAAGCTCCCCAAGCGTGATTTTCGATGGAGTCCATGGAATTTTTAACGGACATGAATCATTGCCTTATCCCGCTAAGGTATTGACTGGTGTTGACTTCACTCATGCTATATAAAAACCTCCCTTGCTCATGCTATAATGGGTTTTTTTGAGGTAGTGATATTATTTCCGGTTCGGTTTTCTAGCTTTTCTTTGAATTATATAAATGATTAAGCGCGTCATTCATTTTTGACTTTCTAAACTTTCTATCATAGAGTGGTTTAGTATGCTTCCATTTTTTCTCTTTTTGTCTATTTTTGTCACTCTGACTTGTATATTACAAAAATTTTGGTTTGTTTTTCTTAGCTAATCTTTGTTGAACTTTGAAACTGAAGTCTCAATTCTGACATTTTCTCAACAAATTTTTAATCATGTTCACCATTCAATGAGTTTCCCATGTCTAAATACCTAAATCTTATCGCGGTTGATTTTTCAGCACAATGATTCATACTCTGCCACAAAAGCTGAAGGAGAGGCTCTAGTTATAAAGTCAAATGGTTCAAACGGCCTTCGAACATGCTGTATTCGACCTAGCAGCATCTTTGGACCTGGTGATAAGTTGCTTGTTCCATCATTAGTTGCTGCAGCTAGGGCTGGAAAATCAAAGGTAATTATTAGGCTTTGACTACTTCCACTTAGTTACTGAGCCTTGCATCTATGTTTTTTTCAACTAGAGATATACATCATATTTAATGGTTGTCGTTGGCTTCATGGATTTATTTTTATTTTTATTCGCAATATGCTGAGTTAGTATTCTAATCCTGCATATTCAAAAGCTTTTGGTTTTCTGACTTTCTACTCTGGAATGTTCAGTTCATCATTGGAGATGGCAACAACATGTATGATTTTACTTATGTTGAGAATGTTGCACATGCTCACATATGTGCCGAGCGAGCTTTGGCATCTGACGGTTTGGTAGCAGATAAAGCTGCTGGACAGGTAGCATTTTCATTTGCTGTAATAAAAGGCATGACCTGCACATGTAATAATATACAGATTCTTCCAGATTTTACTATGTTGCTTGCTTATTATTTCCACAAATAAGATTCTTACATGACCTGAATAAAGCCACAATAACATGGTTTCAATTAATCACGCCTGCAGGCATACTTCATTACCAATACGGAACAAATCAAATTTTGGGAGTTTATGTCTCTCATTCTTGAAGGTCTTGGCTATGAAAGGTACTCTTTTGTTCCAAAGCTTATTTTTTCCTTTGTTGTAGTGTTTTGAAAGCTCAGCTTAAGCTCAAATAATTCGGAAGTGTGACGTCATCATGCTAATAGAAGTTGGTGGTCATCCATGTCTATATTACCTATCAGGCTGGCAAAATATTTTTGAACAACCTCTCATCTTACTAATCTTGAATTGAACGCTTTTACTGGCGTTGAACCTAGGTTGGAGGTTGACAATATCTATATTGGTTGAATCACTTAATTTGCTAAAAACTTATATTTCCTTATTTTGTTCCTTGTTGCTTCTTGTTCTTGATTCATGTATATGAGTTGATTACAACTTCTTCAATCAACCCAACCATGTACAGCTGTTATTTGAGTAAATGCTTTGATAGTAAGTCACCCAACAGTTTTTAGTTTTTGGTAATTCTTAATATTTATCATTGTACTCTGTAACTATGTTTGTGCATTCCTAGAGGGAGTGCCTGTCATTTGAGTTATGTAATAAAATAATGCATGTTATCTTTATTTCTGATCTTGTGTAGTATGCAGGCCCAAAATTAAGATTCCTGCATGTGTTATGATGCCAATTGCACATATGGTGGAATTGATATATAAACTTTTAGCCCCGTATGGAATGAAGGTGCCACAGTTGACACCTTCAAGAATACGTCTACTATCTATCACCAGGACCTTTGATTGTTCTAAAGCAAATGATCTTCTTGGCTACACACCTATTGTGCCACTTCAGGTCAATACTTACACCTTAAGGAGTTAACTCTATCACTTATGGAATGATCTGAGATTTCATAAGATACTCAAGAACGTATTTAATTATCTTTTTGATCATTTCCCGTGATATTTTTTTTTCTGCAGGAGGGTCTTAGAAAAACAATCGATGCGTACCCACACTTGAGGGCTGATGTTCGAAGTAAAAGGGATGGACCATCTAAAGCTGAATTATTTCTTGGCAGTGGAAAAGGTATGAATCTTTTTCCTCTTTGAAATATATATGCGCATATTTTAGGATTCAAGTTGTCTGACACGTCATCCTTGTTCGGCATTCTTATTATTTATGTGGATTGTATTGTTGCATCTGACTGGGAACTTGAGACAGATTCCATGGCCTTTAATCAAGGATGATTATACTTGCAGTTGCTGACATACTACTGTGGAGGGATAAAAAGCAGACACTCACCGTTTTGCTGATCTTGGCTGCAATTTACTTCAATTTCATAGCAACTGGGTATACTGTAATTACTGCAGTTTCCAAGCTTCTATTAGCGGCAGCGGTCTTCCTTTTCATCCATGGAAAACTACCTCAGAAAATGTACACTTGCTAATCTCTTGTTTTCGTGGTACATGATTATTGAACATGCTAGTTGTTCTTTCTAAATTAGTTGCAAACTGCAGCCTTAAATATGTGAAAAAATATTTTAAATTTCATAAACATAGGGAAGATTTCATATAAGCAGTGATAGTAATGCTCACATTTGATTATATGGTTCGCAGATTAGGATATAAAATTGAGAAAATTCCAGAGTCAAAGTTCCATGTCTCAGAAGCTGCATCCCACCATGTTGCGCTGTCAGTGGCATCGGGGTGGAATTCTGCCGCTAGTAACTTAAAATCACTTTGTAAAGGAAATGACTCTAAGCTTTTCCTCAAGGTAATGTGTTACTGGAGTTTTGCTGTAAATCAATTTGAGAAACTTAAATGTTGCAGTCTAAGCTCAATGAATCCTTATGTAAATATAGTCTGTTTGCTATTTCACACTCTTCCGCTGAATGCATCACGATTTTGGTGTTGTAAGCTGAGAGTTGAGCGATTTCTGCTTTGCTCATGAAACAGGTAGTTCTCTCGTTATTGATTCTCAGTATCCTTGGAGCAGTTAAGCTGAATACTGCATTTGTGATAGGTATGTGCTTTGTGCCTGTGTATTGTGATTAATTTTGGCATGCACGTACAACTATGTCTAGTTGTACGCTGAAATATTCCGATTTAATCAATTTTTATGTTTATTTATAGTGTCGCATGTGTATCTCATGTTAGTCGGTCGTCAATTTGCTATCTTCTTTGGAATTTGCAGGAATACCCATTGCCTTTATTTCCTTCGTTGTGTATGAGAAAAAGGAGGAAGAGATAGACAATCTTGCGGATAAACTTCTCTCATTTGGGTGCAAATTGAAGTCTGATGTTACTGGAAAGATTTCTAACTCAAAGAAACAACAATAATCGGAAAAGTGGGGGTAAGGATTAATTTAATTTTCTTTCAATTTGACAGTCTCTTCCTCGGAATCAAATTCTTCAATAGGAGTGCGAAATTGAGGTGGTCTATTAGCTGATATATTTCCTTGTTGGGTTTTCAGAGTATTGTGTATTTGTTCTCACCCGAATGTGTCGTGTCTTTTTCGTTGTTTTTCCTCCCGTTTTCTACCGCCCCACAGTGTACCATTAACATGTGAATCCAGTTCAATCAACTTGACGTATCGTATATTCTTTTAGGACAAATCACATTCTGCATTTGCATTGTTATGTAATGTCTTGTTTGGATTGTAATGCTGATTCAGTTTTTTAACTTGCATTCTGTTTGCAAGAATGTCCAGTTCACTGACCTTTTCTTTAATAATCCCTTTTGCCCCCCCAACCCCCACCCCCACCCCCACCCCCACCCCACTTATTTTTTGCTATGTCCACTAATATGCACTCTAGACTGTTATTCCAATTTGACTCAGCATCAATTCGAGTTGTACTGGTTGCATAACGTGTTGTACTTTCATAATAATGCTGAAATCAATTAGTGGGAGGAATATCACAGATAATGGTGCACCACTAATCTGTACAATTTGGTTCACCTACTGGTGCTAGTTATCATTGCCAATTGACTTGCATTATTCAAATTTCAAGCTACCTTCTTAATTAGGTTAGATGAAATGCTATTATGAGTTTGAATTATTTGAGATGTCGTGTCACACTATAACTTTAATTGGCCAATTGATTTGACATTAAATTAACCGAATTGATTAGGACACCCTATCAAATTTTTGATCTGTCACACTTTTATGGGAGATTATAATTTTGGACACTATTAGGAAGTCAATTACACTACCATAGGCTCACAAGTTCAAAATGATAATGTTTAAAAAGGAAAATACTTCAAAATCAATAAATCTGATAATAACGCCGCACTGGTAGAACTCAATTGATTTCGGGGATGGTGAGTTGATATAAGCTCCTAGAGTCGAATATTGAGTGATTTAGTTTATATTTTTTTTTTTATGGTGTAATAATAATATAATAATAAAATTATTAATAATGATAATAATATATGATAAAATAAAAATGAATTGCTGAAAAGCCCAATAAATAAAGAAATAAGGGTTTGGAAATGGACCACCATTTTTGTGAGTGCGACCAGCATTGGTCCTTGTTTGGCTCTACGATAAATTGATTTTCCGACGAGTAATGTTCAAGTAACGCTTTTAAGCTTTAAAGTTTAAACCCCCCCCCCCCCCCCCCCCCCACAAGAAGCAAAAAAAGAAAAAAAAAAAAAAAAAGGAAAATAAGTTAAATTCAAATCCCTCTGCCAAACAACATTTAATGAAGAATTTGGTAGAAAATTCAGTGACTGAATTGTTAAACAGAGCAAAACGCCAATGCGAAGAAGCGGCCATGGCGTCGGCATTTCGCTCTGCAATTCTACAGAGAGAAAGAGGAAAAATAAAGTGATTTTTAAATGAATCACGCCATTGCCCACTTTCCCCAACCCCCCAAAAGAAAAGCTAAAGGAGAGAGTAACACAATTCACAAAAAGTTTCTGCGTAGATTCTCTCTCCTTCATCTCTGCTAAAGCCATCATTCAACCATTGTTTTTTTTAATAGTATAATTTCTGCTTTCTTTCCCTTCATTCCTTCCCCCTTTTCAATTTCTACCATTTTGTGGAAAAAAAAAGATTGGGTTTTCAAATTTCGCGTGTGCTCTCTCTCTCTCTGCCATTGACTCACTTTTTCTTCCGAAAAAAGAAAGGGCAAAAACAAAACCCCCATTTATGAATATATACTAGGAAAAGTATTAGATAAGTGGTCATAGTAGTATATCCTGTTTCCATATTTCAATTTTTTTACTGTTTTACCATCACATTAGCTGATTCAATGATTGCAAAAATGGGTGGTGGTGGTGGTGGTGTTGGAATTGGAGGGGGAGGGAGAGTGGAGGTGATAGCTGGTAAGGGGTGTTCGAGGCTGTTTGTTGATTTTTCGTCGTCGTTTAGGGGCATTCAACCCTTTTCATTGGAGCCCTTGTCTCCGAATTCCTCTGCAGTTTCTGAATCTCCGGTTAAATCAGTGAAATCCAACGGACCGTTTTCTGGCCTTGTCGTTTGCGTTACCGGATTATCTAAAGGTATACCCGATAACTTTTTCGAATTCTGGATTTTAAATGTATATTGTGTGTGGATATATGGATTTTATGTAGTTAGTGGTGCTATATATTGATGGAATGCTATACTGACGTAGTGTGGTGCTCGATTATATATGCGGGCAGCTGTATTTTCATATGCTTCAGTTATGTTTGTTTCGTGATTTGGGTTTCGTACATTTTCCTGTTTTATTTATTTTTAATTATAGAACGAACAATTATACTAGTCTAAGATCGTAAACTAGACGTATGAATGGCTTAACTAGTTGTAGGAGAGCAGTGTGAAATAGAATATTCTCCCATTATCAAGAACTGTATATTCTGCTAAAAGAGTCGATTTATTCATGTACGGAATGTAGTTCTGTTAGCTGAAATATAGAATTTTTATCTTCTGCTTTCTGAATTCGATTGTAGAGACGAGGAAACAAGTCAAGGAAGCCACGGAGAGATTGGGAGGGCAATATAGTCCGCATCTCCATCCTCAATGCACTCACCTGGTTGTTGAAATATCCTTTCTTGATGCGTATTTTGTTATTTTGTATAACGTTGATTTTTAATTAGGGTCATTTAGATCTGTATATTTCGTTACGAATGTGCTGAAAACAAGGTTTCGATCTGGCTAGTTCAATCAAGTCAACTCTTTCAACAAAAAAAGACAAAATTTTGGTCAACCAGTGTAATCCTATGCGTAGTTAACTAAGCCGAATCATACTCGTGTTAGTCTTTAACACTTGTTACAGTTTTCATGGACGTAAATTTGAGCATGCTTTGAAACATGGATCCACTAATGGTCTATTTCTGGTCACGATTAGCTGGTTTGTGGATAGCGTCAGAAAAAATGGTAATAGTTATTTTTCTTTGTTTTTCAGTTACTTTTGTGTGTGTGTGTGTGTGTGGATGCCCTGTTTGGGGGATAATATTAGGTTTATTTATTTCAGTTAGGTTAAATGAAACGCTCTACAATGCTAACAACATTGGAGATAAAAGTATCCCGAATGACGATTTGAAGCGGCTCGATCAGAATTCCGGTGCTGAAAATTCTTGCATTCCTATTGGTTCGTTTCGAGAAAGGGAGACTAAAAAACAAACTGGTTCTTCATCTTTGTCTGGTCAAACCTTTTACGTTGACCTAGATGTCCCTGTCGAACTTCGCAATAAGGTGGACTTGAATTTTGTTTTGAGGCACTTAATTTTTTTTTTTAAATCCATTTAGTGGATAAATATTTCGGAAAAAAAGTGCCTGTTAACATTTTTTTTATACGTTCCATGAAATATATTTATCTTACTAGGTTGCCGAGGTCTTATCTGCCGAAGGTGGTAGCGTGGTGGATGAATGGTTTGTTGGATGCAATGCTTCTCATGTAGTATGTGAAGGACCTTCTATACGTAAATATCTGGGGCATTCTAGTAATATTGTCACCGTAAGTGATTCTCGTCGTTTTTCATTTCGCTTATTACGTATCCAATGACACCTTAATACTCTGTGCTCATGACACCATCGTTGTTTTTTTTTTTTTTTTTTTTTTTTAATAATAATTTTGACAGCCATTATGGATTATAAAGTCTGCAAAAGAAAAATCTCTGCAAAGACTCGTCCACTTATCAGCCGATTTGGCTAGGTATACTGGAGCAATGCTCGATACTTTCCAGCATGGTGTTTTCAGAGAGGTATGCATCTTTTTTCAATACTCTCTCTCTCTCTCTCTCTCTCTCTCTCTCTCTCTCTCTCTCTCTCTCTCTCACACACACACACACACACACACACAGTTGGCAATGATAATTCAAATTCTTAAAGAAAATTCTACCACTTTGAATATTTACAGGAAGTTAACAGGGTAACCAGTTCCGTAAATGATCCCAGTTCTGTAATTAAAGCAAGCCTCGAAGAACGACGAACGAGGGTAAACTTAGCTAAGGAAGGTGTTAGAAAGCGTCGGAATCGACGAATGCAGGTTCATTCCAAACTTAGCTACTGTCGTTAAATTTGCTCTTTTTTTTTTTGTTTTCTGGCAATAATTTTATTATATTATTATAATTATTATTTCAGACATGTCAAACTCCGATACGTCCAATAACTCCTAGCAGCCTTTTGGATTCAATTTGCTGGTCAATATCCGAGTCAACTTCGACTGCTTCTATTTATACAGAGTCTTCAAGTGTCGAAGAAGAAAACCACACACCTGTTTTCTTCGATGGCAAGGAATCTCATACTTCGTTTGTCAACTTATCTCGACCGCTTACAGAAAGGTATTTTCCGAAATTCTTTTATATCGAATTTTTTCTTTTCTTGAAAAATTCTGATAGAATTTTATTTTTCTTTTCTCAATTGCAGCGAGAAGTCGGAGTTAATATTCAAAGGGAATTTCCTCACAATCATGTTCCCAGTTGACCGATTTTCGGAAATGGGCCCATGTTCTAGAACATTCTTCAGCAATAAAGGGTTCACATGTTTGCAGGTCCTGGATTTCATCCACACATTTTACCAGGTATATATATATATATATATATATATATATATATATATATATATATATATATATATATATATATATATATACGATAAAAATATTACATTTACACGTGTATATAATCCTGGTTGTTGTATTGTATTATAATATATATCTCGATAATCGATTCTCAGGAGAATATGTCGGCCGAGGAAATAGAAATAGCTATCCACACAGATTCGAGGCATGCGGATCGAGTTCGATCAGCTTACTCGAGCAAGGAAAAGGTAGAATTTAAGAGGATTGATTTTATTGGTAGCCGTAGGAGTTTTGAAATGTTGAAACGTGTATCGGGCGATAATAATAGCAACCTTTACGAGTTGTTAATTCGAGCGTGATTTATGGTAAATGCTCAAGAGAGAATGTTTTGTTTGTATATCAACATATATACAGTGTCAAATGTATAGTAAAAGATTTCTTGTGACTGGATTTCGAGATTTTGGCTTTTATTATATACTTTTCGTGTTCCTATTTCTTCTCAATGTTCAATGGTTGATTCTCTCCTGAGTCCTGAATTGGTGGGCAGTGGCGGAGCCAGCATACAACCGAGGGGGCCAATACCCCCTCCCCAAATGTTTCTCAAATCGCTACTATTTCATATAAAAAATTATTATTTTTCGTGAATGGTTACATTTTCTTATTGGGGTGGGTCTATTTCGGCAGCAACAAACAAAATACGAAGTTGTATTTGTTCATATACGATTCTAGTTAACTACAACGTGATAGTAATGAAGCAGAAAGACGTTGTATTCTACACACAACAAACACCAAATAACAATTACACTATTGGAACAACTTACAAAATTATACAATGCTAGGTAAATGTGTTCTCAAACCCTAGAAACGAAATATTGAATGGGCGAGAACAAACATATCTCTAACAATATAGTAAATTTGTCGAAACGCGATACCCCACTGCAAAATTCTTATAAATCGTGCGATTCGAAGAGAACAAACAATGATTATCAAACTCCAACAAGGAAAAAATTAAATTTACTATGATATTAGGGTTTGAAATTAGGGTCAACCTAATTTTCAACAACTAGGTAATTTGTAAAGAACAAAAATTCGAACTCTTTCTTATTCCTTGATCTCCCTGCCCTTAAAGAACTGATAATTAATAATTTATTTTCAGTTAAATAAATTAATTCCAACATTCTCAGTTTAGTAAAAGCCAAAAATAAATAAATAAATAGAAAAACAATATCATATGTTATTTTGTTGACCATTTCCAGGACCATGCAAATATACAGACATGACATTTTGACTGAAAAAAAAAAAAGAATTATTATTACTAACGTTACACACTTTCAAGAGATGGAAGACAATGAAAACACTTTCCTGTCACATCTAATCTTTTTTTTTTTTATTCTGACCAACAACGTTTGATTCATCTTTGATTTGATTTGATGGTTAAGATTTGAAATTCAACAAAACATGTTCGCTAATTAAATCACACAAGTTATCCAATTAATTAATTTCAATCTAAACCACTGAAAACCCTAATTTCAAGATTTCTGCAACCCTAGTCAATCTAATCTGTCTACGCAAATTAAGGTTGGATAATGGGCTGATTTTTTTTTATTTTTTTTTTTAATTTAATTTAAAATTTAGAATGATATAGATAGACCAAGAGATAACTAGGTGCAACTATGGTTACATGCCTAAGTTGTAGTGAAAAATCTAAAATAAATAAATAAATTAAAATTTATAATTAATAACAGTTGGCGTTGGCTTAGTAAAATGAACATAATTCCATAAACGAACTATCTTTTGCTGAGGGTTTCGAAAGTTGATTGTCCCTTATTCCTACAATAGAAAAATGCCATTAACACCATTATCAATCTCTCTTTAAAGGGTTCTCTCATCTACAGAAATATTGAAGAGAGAGAGAGAAAGAGAGATCTAGAGAGAGAAGAGTTAGGAATATGGGGAGAGGAAAGATTGAGATAAAGAGGATAGAGAACTCGAGCAACAGGCAGGTTACTTATTCAAAGAGAAGAAATGGGATCATGAAAAAAGCTAAGGAGATTAGCGTTCTTTGTGATGCACACGTTTCTGTCATCATCTTTGCTAGCTCCGGCAAGATGCATGAATTCTGCAGCCCTTCTACTACGTATCTCTCTCTCTCTCTCTCTCTCTCTCTCTCTCTCTCTCATCATCAAAAACTAGGGTTTTTTTTTCTGGTTCTTGATTTTTTAATTTGAATTTGTTTTGATAATAAAAGGTTAGTTGACATGCTGGATCAGTACCACAAGCTCTCTGGTAAGAGGCTCTGGGATGCAAAACATGAGGTATATATACATACATATACATACATATATTATTTTATTTTATGTGTGAAGATTTTGTGTGTAGGGGTGGTGGTTTTCTCTCTCTCTAGATCTACCATTGACCCTTTCCTCTTTCTCTCTCATTCCCAAGAATTGTAGTACTTTGTTGCAAAAATTTATATGTGTACAGATCTGGTAATAAAATATAATTCTCTCTCTTTCCTTTGCTTGCAAAAATTTATGAATATATAACTTGAGTTTATTTAGCACAAGAAAGGGAATTTTTTTAATGTATTTTATTTACCTTTATTAGATCTAGATGAGGTTGTTCTTGATCTGTTGGTTCAAAGATTATTGCTTTTTTCATGATTTAAAAATAATTAATTTTTAATGTTATTGAGATGGATCTGGAATATTTCTCATGTTTTTTTCTTGTTCTAATGTAATAATAACACTGTAGTTGAATTGTTTTTTTGTAATAAAAACAGCATTTGGACAATGAAATCAACAGAATCAAGAAAGAGAATGACAGCATGCAGATTGAGCTCAGGTTCTCATTTTATTCAAGTTTTTTTTTCCTGTTTCTGTATTTTCCAAAAATAAATATAATAATATTCCATATGTTTTTCTTGATTTAATTCCTATTTTTTTTTTTTTTTTTTTTAATTTAATCAATTTTAGGCATCTGAAGGGAGAAGATATCACAACTCTGAATTACAAAGAGCTGATGGTCTTAGAGGAAGCACTCGAAAATGGGATTTCCACTCTCAAAGCCAAACAGGTTCTTCTATTTATATTTTTTTTCATATATATATATATATATATATATATATATATATATATATATATATATGTTTTGAATTAAGAAAATATCTGAATCAGTATGTATCTAACATCTTTTTATTAATATCTATTCTTTTTATTTTAATTCGACAGATGGAGTTTGTGCGGATGATGCGAAAACATGTACGGCAAACACTACTATTTCTGAATTTTCCCCTTGCCCTATATATATAATCATCACACGTAACATCGGATGCGAACACACACACACACACACACACACGTAACACGTTTATACATTTTCTCGAAAATGGCTAATTTATATATATTTGCTAATGTATGATTGTTGAAAATGATTTCAGAATGAAATGATAGAGGAGGAGAATCAAAACCTCCAATTCAAGCTGGTATGTATATTGTTTTATTCTCTATATAATATATATTCACTATCATTTACTTTAATTAAAAAATAATGCTTAAACATATATATAATTTTAATAATATTATCTAAGAATTTTCTTGAATATCGAAAGCTAATGCTTTTTTTTTTTTTTGATGGATGGGATTAAATTAATAGCGACAGCTGCATTTGGATCCGATGGATGAGAACGTGATCGAGCCGCACGGACTATACGACCATCAAGGTGTTCCAGACTACGAAGCTCACCAAATGCCGTTCGCCTTTCGTGTGCAGCCAATGCAGCCGAATTTGCAGGAGCGTTTCTAATCAATTAATTCCGCAAATTATCAAATCAAACCACCCTTTTGTTCTGATTTATTCAGAAAACTAATAAATAAATAAATAAAAACTTTATATATTATATGAGTAGTTAATGTTTGTGATGTTTAAGGAAGGGTATTATTGTAATTGAACTTCCTAGTAGTATGTTTTGTGGTGTGGTTGGTTTTTGTCCAAACCATTTATCCTAGTATGCTTTGTCATAAGCTTACAACTAGGGTTTCTTATGTTTGACTGCATTGACTTTGATGGTCTTTTAATTGCTTGTGTTTATCTTGTGTTTATTATATATTAATTGAACACGTTTTTGCTTCTATTATTTACAGTTTGCTTTTTTGCAAGTATAACGTTTTATCATCTCTATCTGAAAAATTACATTTATTCATTTCCAAGTTTTGCATAAAGTAATGGTTGCAAATTGGAATAGAGTTTTTTGAATTCTGTCGATTTCGATCTGAAAAGTTTCTATTTTAGAAAAATGCAAATTTTGGTTTATGATAGTTGAGATTCCTATTTTCTGTTTTTATTATTTTAATTTTCAAAAGTAATTATAAAATTTAAACTTGTAACGTCAATATTATTATTTATTTTAGATTATATATGAATAAAATGAGTACATTTTCAGATTATTGCCGATTATGATCCTGAAAATTCCGATTTTGGAATAATCAATCCAATTTTCAAAATGTTGACATCCTTTCTTTTAGAACAAAATTAGATTTTTTTTTTCACTTAAAAAAAATAAATTAATTAATTAAAAATAAAAAAATAAAAAAAAATCGCTTAGACTAGTACATTATGTAATATGCTAAAGCCCATAACTAAGGTCCGGGCCTTAAATCGGCCTATACCTACCACACACAAATAAAACGTGGGCCTCAATGTGAACTAGGGGTGGGAACGAGCCGAGCTCGGCTCTTTTGGCCAGCTCGAGCTCGAGCTCAAGTCCATGTTGCCGAGCTCGAGCTCGAGCTCGAGCTCATCGAGCCAATTTATTTTGGCTCGAGCTCGAGCTCGAGCTTATTTAATTTTTTATTTTATTTTTTTTTATATTTTTTTATTATTATTTAATTTTTTTATTAAAATCATTTTATTTTTTATAAAAAATTATTCATAGGAAAATAATAAAAATTATAAAATAAATAATGAACTCTAGTTATATATATTTTTTATTTTTTCTATTATTATTATTATTATAATATTTTATATTATTATGAATTATTTAAGTAATATAGATTTGTTTCTATTTAAATACTAGATATATTTATTATTATAGACTATTTACTATTTAGTTAATAATAATAATAATAGTAATAATAATAAGAATAAGAATAATATATATATATATATATATATATATATATATATATATATATATATATATATATATATATATATATATATATATATATATATATATATATAAAGAGAGAGAGAGGGGCGCGCGCGCGCTGCCACACATCTTTTTTTGCGCGCGAGCGCGAGCGTGTCAGACGCGCGCGCTCAAAAAACGCGAGCTCGAGAGCGAGTTTTTTTCGCGCGCGCTCGTCGAGCGCGAGAGCGCGC